TATATAACGTGCATATTATTACGTGTGTATATGTGTCTGTGTGTGTCATATTATAACTGGTGGTGATATATTTATATGAAAGGAATGAAATAAAACACTTGAATACGGTTAAATACGTAAACATACATATGAATATTATTAGGATACAATAGTTTTACATGCATATCTGATGTCACTTCTACAGATGGGGCACTGTCTCAGGGATACAGCACAGGAAGCACACGTAACCATATGTGCGCATGGAAGGAACACTACAGTTATTTCACTGTCCATGCACACTTTACATGTGCGATTTTCACGCATCCGTTCGAGTTCCTCTTTCAGCTGTTCATCTAAAATAGAAAGATGATCAATACAAGTGTTAATAATAATATAACATATAATAATAATAATAATAACTAACAATAATAATAACCATATATTCATCTATAATTGAAAAAATAGAATAATCAATTATAATATAGTTTATACTTACAAGATTGTTTTGACTTGAATTCTTTTTTTTCCTCATATTCCTCCTCTTCTTCTTCACTAGTCTGCGATATGAATTCTTCGACTATTTGCAAAATATGCTTTGTTTCAGTTTCGGTATTTTCTCGTTCAGATGATGATGATGATGATGATAACGTTGTAGTCAGAGGTGCAGTAGGGAGTATAGCTTGTTGTCGTATCATTTCAGATGTAGATGGAAATACAGAAGCTTGTTGTCGTCTTATTTCAGATGTAGATGGCAATATAGAAACTTGTTGTTGAGATAATAGTTCAACCTCGGTAGATTCGGATGGAAGCGACTGAATATTTGCAACCCGATTCTCCATGGTTCCAGACGTAGATGGGAATACAAAAGTTTGTTGTTCAGATATCGAAGATGAAATATCAGTCTCGCCAGATGACGGCTCACACGCTGTACTTTCAGAACGATTATCTGCAACCTGATTCTCTGTTTCGTTCATTCTCTGTATGACATCTTCAAGACAAGGCTCTATACCTGATATACGGTTCGCCGGTTTGTTCAACCCGATCTTTAAGGGTGGCCCTGACTATATAACTAGGAAATCCCAGTCTCAGTACACCCTTGGCGATATCCAAACTCATCAATAGATCCAATTCTTGTTTGGATAGGGATTGCACCTCCGTTGGACTTATTACTGCTACCGGAAGCAGCTTTATCGATACCCGAATATATAGTACTTGCTATGCGGGTGTATGGTGGATATTCTTGCTGGACCTAAAAGAAATTATAACAATATTAGTATTATAGTAATAGTAATCTAATGAAAATAATAATAATAAAACAGTAATTATTAAAATTATCCAACAAAATAAGATACACTTAAGAGGTATATACATACTTTATTGATATAGTCCTGGCCTTTCATCAATAAAACAAATCTGCATGTAGGATACCATCTAGCGTGTTCCTTCCAAGGTATATCGCTAGATATCCAATTGCGAAGACCCTTACCGCAGTGGAAACAGCGAACATGATCACTCAGACCTGTGAAAATAATAACGGTAATTGTTTCTTTTGCGAAAGTATATAATGTTTCTTTTGATAGAGAAGATGCAACCAATTCCAGAGTTCTTAACGAGCTGATGTTTTTATCAATATTTAAAACCTGCAATTAATCTACTACTACTTATATACATATACATATATATATAAACGTTGTACCACAGTAGAAAAATCCAGCTTCGGCAAGATCTTGTATGTGCAGACCAATATCCTCAGGCCATTCGACATAGGTCTCCAATCGCGGCTATCTACTGTCATGAAATCACTTCGTGTCGGTCCAGAATGCTGGGAGAGACCAATTCCCTCCAGAGATCCTCCTGTGTGACGAAACGATAACAGGGAATGAATCTGGATTGAGCTCACGGGTAAAGAGTTAGATATAACGTTCATAAATACTAATCAACGATAAAAGATATCAAATTACTCACTGCATTCGGGATATGATCCGGCCATATGTCTTGACGATAATCCGCAAACGTCGGCCTTAACACGTCTTGACGATCTGCAATCGTCCAGACTCACATGTAGTGCCGGTAACCTGGCTAAAATATTGCCAGGAATAATGGGAACATTTCCAACTGGCTGATCCCTAATAAAGGGACAGTGAGGAAAATGGCGCTGATGTTCTCCTCTTGGCGTGTCACCCCGTTCCCAGGCTCCAACTATCCCTCTGCAGAAGATACACGCACAGTAATCCCTTTTCCTGAGATGGTAAAATCCGTCGGCCGCCAATTCTGACGGTTTCAGCCATTCATGAGGCCAGTCGATGAAGGTTCCTAATCGCTGTTCTTCGTATCTTAAACTATCGTAGCTGACGAACGTCATGTTCCTGTATACTCTAGTGGCCAATTTGCATGCGAATGAGCAATGAGGGTTCATCGTTCTGTGAATTTTAACGATGTCATCTGACACTGCGAGAGATTTAACATCAACTTCCAAATTGCAATCAAAGCACCTCACATTATTCCCTGCGTCCGTACTGTAAAATCCGGCTTCGGCCAATTTCCTAATATCAATGGGAAATATCTCATGTCCGCTGAACGTGGCTAACCGATGTTCTTCCTGTTGCAGAAAACTGTTAGGATGTGATATATCCATTATGTCTTCAGTTATATTGATCTGGCAATGGCTATGAAAACATTATTTCTTATAGACGAATTAGAGATCTTCTCCCGATGTAAAATATGTTAACCCTACGCTTAAAAGTACAGGAACCGGAGGAGGAGAGAGTCGAGTCAAGTCTAACTCTTTATACCATCAGTCAGTGTTTAAATAGATAAGCCATGTTTCTAAATATATATATCCGTCGGTCTTGAGCATTCAACAAAACATTTCGGAATAATCGTTTTTAATATTTAACAAAGGATTCTTCGTTCATATCGATCTTACAATACGTTAGAGATGAAACACTGACAGAGGAGAAGCGTCGAGAAGATAGACTTATAGTTACTTCAAAATTCAAATTGTTATATTAATATAATATCACCCCTAATATAAAGATACAGAAATCGGTTTTAGAAATCATTTCATGCCGACTAATCACTAAGTTTAAAAATCATATGTAGTTCAATTCTTCCTTCCAAGAATCTTTTATATCTTCTCGGAATAATTACAGTTTAACAAAAATTTATAGTGACTACTCACTTTATAAAAATGTCGTATTGACTATACACATGAATTTAGGAAGAAATTTATTGTATTGTTTATTCCTACGAATTATAGGAGAAATTGATTTATGGTCTTATATTGTCATATTCTGAAAAAAAAATACAGTCTCTTTTTATACATCAACTTAATACTATTCTTCACACAGATTTTCCAGCAAGTTTTCGAGACAAAAGAAGTTTGTGTGTTTTCTCAGGAAGGACTGTTTCACTAAAAGGCTAATACCATCGAAAAGACATAGTGCTCGATAAATCACCCTGTTACAACAAGGCTTTGAATGTTGAAAAATATATTACAATCGAAGCTTGATGAAATATTCTTAAAAGGACATTTTAGTAAATATCAGGAACTTTTCTCGGCAAGGATTATTTTCAACAATGCCTGAGTGCTAGATAACTATAACAATAATTTCTGTTGACCAATTACCAACAAAGGCCCTTTTTGGTTCCCAACCTTTCTATATTTTCTCTGAAAATACGATTTCGACAAAATTTTGAACATACAGACAGACGTATTCATACAGAATTTATTTATGAAAACCGTAATCTCATATTATATAGTGAACGCTTGACAGAATATTATTCACAGAGATCTTCCATTAGATTTCGGTTACAAAGCAACTAACTCGACCAAATATAATAAAACAGCAAGATGTGTGAGCTACTTCTTTTCTATTCTATAGGCATGCCCCCTTTAGATAGTGTCCATATTTCTTAGTGACAAATATACATATTTCGTGATATGTTATTAGACATGTATATATTTTATGATATGTTATTAGACATGTATACATTTCATGATATAATATAAGACATGTTCATATATTATGATATGTCCACATCTTAAGGCGTGTCCATTTTTAAGAAATATCCACTTTTAAAACATGTCCACTTTTAAAACATGTCCACTTTTAAAACATGTCCGCTTTTAAGACATGTCCGCTTTTAAGACATGTCCGCTTTTAAGACATGTCCACTTTTAAGACATGTCCATTTTTAAGACATGTCCACTTTTAAAACATGTCCACTTTTAAGGTGTGTTCTCTTTTGAGACATGTCCAGTTTTTAAGATGTGTCCACCTTTAAAATATGTCCACTTTTAAGACATGTCCAGTTTTTAAGGTGTGTCCACCTTTAAAATATGTCCACTTTTAAGACATGTCCAGTTTTTAAGGTGTGTCCACCTTTAAAATATGTCCACTTTTAAGACATGTCCAGTCTTTTAAAATGTGTCCACTTTTAAAGATGTGTCCACTTTTAAAATATGTCCACTTTTAAGACATGTCCAGTTTTTAAGGCATGTCCACTTTTAAGACATGTCCAGTTTTTAAGGCATGTCCACTTTTAAGACATGTCCAGTTTTTAAGGCATGTCCACTTTTAAGACATGTCCAGTTTTTAAGGCATGTCCACTTTTAAGACATGTCCAGTTTTTCAGACATATCCAACTCTCAATTTCAGGTTAAATGGCTATTTTTCATAATTATACTAAACACGACTCAATAAAGACGAATCATAAAATTAGAAATATATAATGTTGTAGATTCAAGGACCGTGATCAATTTGTCATTTCGATGGGGCAACAGACTAATTCTGATACATAAATATGATTTTACACAGCATACACACACACACACACATACGTGTGTTGTGCAACTACACTATAGATCGAATACCAGTTTATATTACACGATCCATAGATTAAAATGTCTGATCCAGGGAACATGGACAATGCAACTGATATTGATTATGACCTTACCCGTATGTGCGAGGAGACACATCGAGCAAATACATATAGGGATTATGATCAATATGTTCACCATCCAAAAATAATGGCAAAAGCTGGTTTCTATGAACTAGATAAGAGACTGATTTGTTTCAGATGTAATTTAAACATCGACATCAGTGACATTGGAAAAACTGATGACATCGTGGAAGTTCACCAGATAAATAGCCCAAGTTGTGTATTCGCACGGAATTTACCTTCACTTCCGAGATCGAGACTAGTTGTTGCATCTGATTTAAGATACGAAACGAAAAGATTAGAAACTTTTATAGACTGGCCGTTAGGCGAAGTAATAGAAGCAAGGGATCTTGCCGCCGCTGGCTTTTTTTATTCAAGAATGAACTTTGAATGCATTTGTTTTTGTTGCAAGGCGCGCATATTGTTTAAACCGTGTACACTGTACGTTTGCTGTGCTCGACACACTTCTATGTCTCAATATATAACAGAAAAACATTTAACTAACGCCTACTGTGATTTTGCACAGGGAAAGGTAACCGGTAATGTACCTATTCGTATAATTAAGATTATAAGTAAGATCATCGGTCATCAAGAAACAGATAACGAGAAAAACAGCTGTGATAGCGTAGAAGGAAGAAACCGTGGAGCTAGTGGCGAAGAAGATGGTGGAGATTCACGCGAGTCGGATAATGACAGTTCCTCAAGAACCAGTGCTGGTAACAGATTATCGGAGATGGGTATCAAACCGTATTCTGGACCAGTGCATGAAAATTTCGTAACGTCAAGAAGTCGCAAATATACCTATGACGATTGGCCTCTGGGAGATATAATGCTCCCCAAAAGACTGATAGCTGCTGGATTCTTTTATTCGGGTACACGTCACGGGTACACAAATTAGACAGTTGTGAGGCTTAGTAAATATATAACTAACTGAGCGAAGAATATCTTTTATTTTCGGATCGAAGTGTCACTATTGATATCAATCTTCCGTTTTCAGGGTACGGTGACCACGTCTATTGTTTCCACTGTGGTGTTGGTATTCGCAATTGGGAAAAGGATGATGACCCATGGATACAACACGCTATGTGGAATCCTGAGTGTTATTATGTTCGAACTTTAAAGGGACAAACATTTATCGATATGGTAAGATATTATGTGCTCCAGATATTCTAATATATACTTTCTAGCTTACAATGATGTGGTTATATATATATGAGATGTGTATTTTCAGTATACATCATTTGATTATAGTGTGTTAATCTTAATCAATATTTTACTTTCAAGGCAAAGACGGTCAAGAATGTGCTTTTTAGAAAACCTACTCGTGAGAGAACCTATTCTGTAACGGACGAAGATTGGAATGCTGTTATGGGTCTGGATATCACCAAAGATTTGCTGATGTCACTCTTTCCAGTTGCTGCCGTCAGAGATTGTGTTCGAGAACAGATTCTAGTTCATAAAACCCCATTTAACACCAAACATGAAGGTCTTCATTCTGTGAGAAAGAAAATCATATCATATGGCAATATGGATATAAGCTTGGCAAAAAAGATCGGCCATATGAGCACGGAATATATTCAAAATTATCATGCGGTATATTCTGTGATATATTTTTTGAGGGACCTTAAGAGAATATTTATCATGAATCGAGATGGAGATCGGAATAACTCTATTAATTTATTTAAACCGGATCAGTCATTGTTTTTGTTCAAACAACCTTCCTATAGCCCTGTCGCAACGCCGATGTATCAATACCAATTATCGTTCACTATTCCGCATCCATCTTATAATAGCGATTTTAGATTTCAGCAGGAATATCGTCTAGCAATAGAACACCTTAATAGAGGGCTAGTTGTTCATGTCATGAATTTATTTTTCCATGAGAGGGATAGTATCTCTCTCTTTTATGTATGGAATCGAATGATTCAGCTTTCTAGATTAATCAATAACAACGATAGGAATAGTGGCAGTATTAGTAGTAGTAATAATATTAATGATAATAATGATAATAATGACGATGATAATAACGAGGATGATAATAATGAGGATGATGATAAAGATTCCTATGATGTATTCAGTGTGATTAGGAAACACCACCAACGCCAGGAAGATGAAGAAAGAAATTCTGAAATAAAAGGTAAGATCCTATGTTGTAAAGTAAAATATATATGGTTTTGAAAAGAAAGTGATGTATATATGTCTTTATATGTGTGTTATATTCTGCACAGATGCTCCTGACAGTGTAATTGGCGATCGATACTTACGCAAGATTTGTATGAACTCTTGCGTAAAGACGGTTACTCTCCCCTGTCGTCATATGTCATGTTGTGGTAATTGTATAGTAACTCAAACAAGGTGTCCTATTTGTAGAAAGAAGGTTAAGTATACTCTCGAACCCTATTTGTAAAAAAAAGAAAGATCGTGCAATATCATTATATGATAATATAAAGATTATGATATATATACACGAGAATAATGAACTTAATATTATAATGTATATTTGGAGAGAAAAATAATATATTGTAACTGAGAATACTACTATCATTTTATCTTTAATATTCCTTTGTAAACATGTAGTTCCCTTGTAATCGTGTAGGTGTATGATTTATAATTCGAATATAAAATAGTTCTAGGTGTATAAATGTGTATATATTTCTTTTCAACCTTGCCTATAAACGGTCATATGACCTG